TGATCGAAATGTTTGTTTTTTTTTCTTGTAATCCATGATCGAATTTTTTTTTTTTTTTTTTTTTGTAACCCATGATTGAATTTTTTGTAATCCATGATCGAATGTTTTGTAATACATGATCGAAATGTTTGTTTTTTTTTTGTAATCCATGATCGAAATGTTTGTTTTTTTTTTGTAATCCATGATCGAATTTTTTGCTTTTTGCTTTTTTTGTAACCCATAATAGAGTTTTTTGTAATCCATGATTGAATTTTTTGTAATCCATGATTGAATTTTTTGAAAATTTGTGATTTTTTTTTTTTAATCCATGATCGATTTGTTTGAAAATTTGTTTTTTTTTTTTTAATCCATATTATTCAAAGAGAAAATGAAAGAGATGATGATTCTGAGGCCGCCCTATCCCAGCCATATTATTCACATATCGAGTCCCAACAGCAACAGTGTAGGGATGAGCACGACAGTGCAGGTGAGCATGAAGGATAGACAATCTTTGGGGATTTTAGATTGGAAACACAACAAAACACTAACACTCAGGGATTTAGAAATAGTCAGACGCCTGCTAATATCGATGATTCGTTTTTAGATCGAATCAATGAATTGTTAAACGAATTCAATCAATGGCGCCAGCGTGACCAAGAAGAACAATAACGTCGTCTATCATTTTATTTTTAGATCATATGTTATTAATTTTATGCTTTATTGTAGTCTATGTATGTTGATATACTTATCCCATGATAATTATATGTTTATCCTTTTGTGAGATGTAAATTAAATGCTGAATGGCAGTTCATGCAGGGAAAGAACATATCAATATTCGCATATTCATTCAAAAACATGAAAATTCTTAATGGAGTACCCGCATTTCTTATTGAATTCCTAAAAAACAATATTTATAATGAATTTTAATAATTTTTTCGGATTTTTTTTAAGCTTTATTCTGACAGATTCACCCGATTCCCGATCCGAATCGCCGATTCGCCGATCCGGATCGGTTTTTTAGAAGCCCGATCCGGGTCACCAATCCGTTTTTTAAACCATTGGTTTGAATATTAAACTGAGGAATTTGAATATTATATTGGGCACAAATTTCCTGTAACCAGATGAAAAATCCTTTTGTTTGTTTTTCTTTCTTTAGGAATTTATTATATTTTTTATGGAATAATTCCACTAATCTAGGTTGAAAAGCTTTGAGATACCATTCTCTAATACCTTGGTTTTCTGGG